GATTACTACAACTAATTCTCAACTTGATGTTTAAAAAATCATCTTTATGTGACTAGATTAAAATATTGAATATGATGTACTTGAAATAACAGTATCTGTTGATTACAATTACAGCAGAATTCTGGGCAGATATTAATTAAGCCTCTCTAATCGTGCCAACAAAGTATGACATACTGGGTATCTCATATCATCTACAAACACGGATAATGGCACCTGAACCTTACCAATTAGGAAATTGGAAGCTTCTGCAATATAGAACGCATGGTCAATGTATATCGACTCTTTTTCATATTGACATAGAAATAAATGACAGGTTCATATAAATGTATTTTCAAAAACTCTTTGCCAACTAAAGGCCGGTTAGTCATCAACTAAATCTGTGATTTCATTCTGGTGAAATTGTTGTACACTGGCAGTTGATTAAGTCGTAATAGTTTCATATTCGGTAGGTTACGGGCCGATAAAAGCACACTAAATAAAGCTCGGCTATATGTTTGAGGTGAAGGTTGTGAAAAGCACGCATTGAAATAAGGCTTCTGAAGGGAAATTATATGAATGATTATGCACAACAATTTGTGTGTTTAATCTTAATTTGTATGTACACGTTGTGTACATACCTATTAACATTAATGAATTACGCAAACTGAGTTTAGAGGTAGTAACCTAAGCATATTCATATATTCATTGTCACTTATGACATAATGCCCTCTCGAGACATGAAAGTGTGCTCAGTTCTATATAATAGCTATATCCTATATAGCTTCTCCTTTAGTTTAGTATATATTTCACGCAATCTTTATTATCGTCATTATACATGTGATATATTGCTGTTTATGATTTATAGTCAAAATTGTACGCACGACCACTGACAGTAAACTGTTTGAATGTATTGTCTTCTGATTAAGTGTATTATCAAGTTGCCAAAAAAGGAAAAGACCTTTGATTATGATAGTCTCGTTATGGCAAGTACATGCTGATTCATTCGGCAATTGTCATATTATTCTCCAAACTGTTACTGCCTTAGCTAGCTAAATGCACTTTCTTCCTAATTGAAATTTCATTGGGATATAGGCTCAGTTCTTAACATAAAACATGTTTATGTTGATAAAAACTGACCCTATACAATCATTTTAGATGGATTAAAAATGATATTGCTGCAAAGTCTGTCCCTCCACCCCCGACAATGTGTACATACATACGCAATGGTATAGTGATGTCTGTAGAAAGGCTAGAAATGCTAGGAAAAGATACTTAGTATTTAATAAATACCAAACTCAGGGACAGTTTACAAATAGCTTATGAAAAGTATCATTGAGGAACCATCTCCCAGTACACTTCTTCTCTTATTGCTTGTATTATATGCATTGTACAACATATTTGAGAACCGGGTTATGCCCCCACACACACCCACACACCCTGCCTTCACGATCACCTTGTAACCTAACCCTCCCTGATAGAAGCTATGGCTATCCCATTAGCATTGCTACTGATCAAAGCAGAATTATATTTCCAGATAGTTTATCCAACCTACACGCATCCAACAAACCATATAATGGACCAACTCAGGTTTTAGTTGATATTTTGAAGTGGCGTTTTCGACTCGACTGAGTTTGGTTTAATGCCGCTTTTAGCAATATTCCAGCAACATCACGGCGTGGGGACACTAGACATGGGCTTCACACATTGTCAGCTCTATGTGGGGGCGTTTTTCGAAAAGATAGGCTGTTACATATTTAAATGCGATTAAACACACAAAATCGTGTTGTTAAAAATGTTCATATAACTTCGAATTATAATGTCTAGAGTTGAAGCAATATACGCCAGAAAATAATTTGCTCATTTTAGTGTGAAGCAATTATGTTCCAGTTACCCTTTTTGCAATATCTGTGTTCATATTAAAGTTAGAAAACGAATGTTGATGATGCATTGATAGAGATGAAGTTTCCATACACATGATCTCCAGAGATAAACACATACCGACTGTATAAAAAACAACTAATAAAAGTAAACGTTAAACATTAACGAATCGGGGATATATATGTACATTAGATATTTATGGCATACATTTAATGCTACTAAGATACAACACTCTAATATGAGTAGCATGCTGAATGCCAGAAGGGCGTGTTGAAATTATCCAACCTCTATAAAGCGCCTTTTTGTTGTAATTAATCATGCAGGTTAGGCTATGGTGCGTAAAGACCACTCAGCATTTATACTCTCGGCACCTTGATTTCATACATGGAAAATCTTCATTAATATTCTCCTATTTCTATGGTTAAAACACTACTTGAAAATTAATTACCTTCGACCAACACTTCCGTTTGTGCATGAGTTCTTTTGTGTCTGAGGATATTGGAGATAACATCCTGAAAACAGCATGGCAGATCTAGAGCTGTTAGATAACAGTAAGTATATAATGCACTCATAATATCATTCTTCGTTCGAAAAACAAAGGAATTGACCGTTTTCGAAGAATATAATAGAAAAGTGTAATTTTGACCCCAGTTAACAAAATGACAATTTCACCGGTCATACTCAGCATGTCCATGACAAACACTGTTGCCGTGCCCTTCCCGAAAATAACTTGTTTGTGTTGAGGCAGTTATATGAAGTAGTTTTAGCTTAAAGGTCAACGAAGATTTACTTTACCCTTTAAAATGTCTTCGCTTTTCAATCATTTTCCCATCTAACAGGCGCCAATACCGTGTGTCGCACTTTTCGTTTAACTGTTGAAATAGCAACATATACACTGATAGATTTAATATGTAAAAGTAAGATCTGTTTTGCGACAATACAAAACAATTTTAATGTTTCCATGTTTTGTTTGTTTTTCAGTCGCTAAATTTGGCCTGGCTAAAATCGCATTTTGATTTGCTACCAAGGAACAAAAACTAGAGGGATATACGTCAGCTAGAGTGGCAGCTGATACTTTCGTGAAAATATGCACGTTTCGGTTCTGAAGGTTTAAAATGAATACATTTCCAAACCGCAAGGAAATGTACTTATATAATAAATCTTGACCTCAAACTGACATTCTAGATATAACGTTTCTGTCACGTGACAATCAATTATTTGTTTGTGGAGTGTATGCAACAATACCTAGGTCTGCTGAAGTGTTGCCTATTTTAACATCATATGAAGGCACTATCCAATTTAAGTCAAGACAACAAAAGTGCATTGACGCCTGTTAAAATGAACGTTATATCTCCTCCTAGAATGCGTATAGCTTACCTAGTGCTTAGCTTCCAGACAATTGTAAGTATATTACTTGTAAATCAAATAAGACATTCGGTTCGAAAACACGAATCGTTTGGAAACAATATGTTTGCCTCCGATTACCGGTAGAAAACCTATATCAAGTGAAAATTAAACTGTTGTGCAGTGTCAGTTGTTAAACTTACAAACTTGATTCTGAATCCGAAGCTGATGTTATTATGGGTGGCGTGCCCTCTGGATTGAGACCAATCCTTCTCTTTCGCATCTTCAGTCAGAGACGTTGAAGGCTGATTGGCAGCTTGTTCTGTGTCTTCTCACCATTTCGTGGTTCGTTGCATCACTGATGAAAGAACAATACTTTTAATGCACTCAGAAAGGAGTAAATAGCAAGTTATATGAAGATAACACTTTCCTTTCGAAAATAAACAAGCGACCTTCCGTTCGTGCAGAATTTTAGTAAAGAAATGTTTTGCTCTTCAGCCAATTTAATAGACATGGTTCTACGGTATGATCTACATTCACTGAACATTAGCCCAGGTAGGGAAGCATCAACTATCAAGTAATCAACTCACAAAAATGAATCTGAATCTGAATTGTAAATTTTTGTTTCTCTTGGATTTGCACCAATATTCTCTTTCTACATCTTCAACCCGGATGCTGACAGTTGCCGGCTCACTGCAAACGTTTAAACTGCAGCATAGGAGCATCCTTCCCCTATACCATGCAAGAACTCCATGAACATCGTCTTCTACATTTTCTTGATCTTGAATCATTCTGTCTCTCTCTTCCCTCAGTATCATGTAGAAATTCCACAACTAGACATGACTTGTTGTGCATCTTCTCGAATTTACTACGATACCGTTTCTCCAATTTATCAGTGAGCTCTGAAATAAGTAGGCACACCTTCATATTGAATTCTCATCAGTCCGTGGAACATTCTCAAAAGTCCATTTAGACCTTTCAGACCCGTGAAGATCCGGGGTAGAATAGGTCTTCAGCAACCCATGTGCTTGCTATAAAAGGCGAACTATCTTGTCGTAAGAGGCGACTAACGGGACCGGGTGGTCAGTTTCTGCTGACTTGGTTGACGTGAAAACTAAACTCACTCACTCACTCACTCACCATTTGGACGCTGAAAGGCTGTTCCCTGTCCATCGTGTCTGTATAGCAACCGGGACACAGCTCCTGTTCGTGATAAATTTAACTGTTGAAATTAAACATAGGAAATGCACACATGAGAATAAGACCGAAAGCATTAATTCTAGTGTTTCAGGGATCACATATGGCTTGAAGTGGATAATAAACTTCACCTTCCATCTTCGTGGGGTATATCCTTTGCGTTAATCGTTACATATTTTGCAGTATGAGTAAACTCGCCTCATGAGTTACTGAAGATCAATTGTAACCCGGAAATTCACCGGTCTCCATAGAACGATGATGTTATCACTACATGTGGATTGCCTTCACAGTGTTGTGTTATGTGTCCAAAGATCATGCTGATATTATTATTTATGGATTCTCCTCGGAATGAAATGGTGTGTTGAGCTGCATTATTGCGTGTGATACAGCATGGTATATTTACATGTACAATGTATTTGATCTGTTCGTCTGTGTTATACGCTCATGTGCTGTATCGGACTGAATTAGAAAGTGTTGTACTGAACGAATAAATGCATCAGTGTGCTTTAATGTAGTGTGATGCGCTCATATGTGCAATAAAATGACACCGACGGATTAGTATTGGGCAACACTTATTTAGTAACATCACTTAATGTGTATTTCATACCTTTTGCACGTTCAGTTGCCCGATAGTGTAGTTATATTTCACATCGCAATTTACCGCCCCTTTCACATCCATGTTTAAGGAAGCTTCTGAAAACACAAGTACATCACCATGGGATGTTAAGGGAAATGCAGTTTATATTGATGGTGAAGGAAAGTACCGAAACACTTACTAAACTAATTTCAACCTTTTTCTTCATTTACAGAACCTAAATATGGCGGACGGTTGTCCAGTCCGGTTGTACGTCAACGGACATTTGAAATGATTTTGTTCACATAATTAAACATAATTTGAAGATTATATCAGAGGGCGTACACCATGTACTTCGACAATACACGACATTATTATGCAGCACGATATCTTACTCTGCTGGTCTACTGGAGGCGTGCATGCTTCTTCTGTACCGTCACGCTGAGGACAATCATTGTTGTCAACTGTCGTCAGTGCTGACATCACTCGTGTCTGCGTCCATCTTCTTTGTCGGCGACAGCATCTAGACGACACGTGTTGCTCATGTAGATCACCACAGGTATACGGAGACACAAGTAATGTTTATTTTAAGTGTATTTTATCGAGAATTCAGGCCTCCGTTACACGTGACACCAACCCACTTATAGCTTGCTCGCTTACTTACCCACTACTCAATATGTAAATAACGATTGTCTAATAAATCTTCTTCAAACTGCCAAACCTAAATCTATCCCTCTTTATGCAAAAATGTACCAAAAAGCTTTCATGTTACGTTGCTCATTACCATAAATGTATATATACACATATCTTCAACACAGAAGCTAAGCACTTGTTTGTATAATATATGCACTCATGTTGTAATTTGGGCCTGTGGTCTTTCTACTGAATAAATTATTCAATAGTTACCCTCTCGTACACCCACCTACCTCTTTTAATGCCTATGTCGTGATCCCAGGCATCTAAATCTGGAAAACAAGAAATGAATAACCATGTATTCAGTCAGATACAACTACACATGCATACACACCTACGCGCTTGTGGTCAGTTTAACGTTAACAATACTATGAATGCATGTATGCATGCATGCTATAAATAGTATGTACTCTGTCTCCATTTAAGTGTAGCCATAATTATCGCCCTCACGTGTCAAACTAATGATTTTCTGCATATTCACTTGCTGCACATTTACATTACATTTAGATAACAATCATATCCCTGAGATGAGCTTGTATCGTTCACTCTCATGCATGGGTACTGTGTTATATGGGTTCAATGTCTACAGTCAACAATGTTACTGGTACACCGGGTAGGGGAATCCGAAACTAGGGGATTCCCCTCTTTTATTATAATTGGACATTTGCTAACAACAGAACGATCAAAATTAACTCTGACACTTGAGGAAACTGTCACCGGAAATATTGAACATGAACCGTAGTATGGTATGAGAGGGTAAGAGTTGCATGGCCAGGATTGACAGAAATATACATGCAATGCACATATAGTAATCTACTTCCGCATAATACACATTATCTATTTCTTTTCAAAGCAGATCAAGCCTAACCCTGATGATTTACTCACCTTAGTGCTGTCAAATTATTCCCTCAATCATTCCATGATATGTAACACATCTACAAATACAGAACTCTGTATTACGACATGGTAGGAGATAAACACTGGGAGTCGCTCTTCGCCGAGACGCCTACAGTTGCGGGTATGTTGATGACGTCATACAACCGGTGTTGTATAACAAAACGTGCCCTGCACCGATATGCACAACAATACTGTTTGCATGTTGTGTGGGTAAATGAGAGAATATGCTACGGCGGTGTACACTAGAAATGGGACTCGATGTATGTATGTGGAGAAACGGTCTTTGCCGTGAACCTGTCTGTCTGTCTATCTGTCTGTCTGCATATCTGTCTGTCTGTCTGTCTGCATGCATGCCTGCTGTATGTCTGTATGTATGTTTTATGTATGTCTGTATATATGTTTTATGTATGTCTGTATGTATGTCTGTATGTATGTCTGTATGTATGTCTGTATGTATGTCTGTATGTATGTATGTATGTATGTATGTATGTATGTATGTATGTATGTCTGTATGTATGTATGTATGTATGTATGTATGTATGTATGTATGTATGTATGTATGTATGTATGTATGTATGTATGTATGGCTGGAATCATGCAGAAAGCCAAGCTCCTCAAGACGTGAAACACTGAATGAAAATATGGAGAAACTGGGCGTGAACACATAACGGGTGACACGAACACATGTGCTGTCAGGTAAAAAAACAACATTCAACCGCTCACTCCGCACATATTTATATGCACTGAAGGCAAGAATAACTTTTGACATTGCAATTTAATGCCTACTGTCATACATGGTTAGACCACAAAGAGCGTCACAGTACTGTTCGAGGTCATGACTTGCATCAGTGATCGGGACTTGTATCCGTGGTCAGGACTTGTATCCGTGATCGGGACTTGTATGTAGACTTGTACAAATCCTCGTGTTTTCGTCGAGGACATAGCACAGTGGTCACGTGGGGTCACGTTCTCGTAGGTAAGATTGAATTCGTTATATTTCAAGGTACTGAATGAGTTGGATTTGGGGCGCTTTTAGTAACATTCCTGCGGTGGACAGCAGGCATGGGCTTCACATACTGTACCCAGTGGTTAAAGGTACGTGGGTATTTGTTTGGAACAGGTACATGGCGTTCTTACTGAAGTCACACCAGGCATATATGATACACCTCAAGCGGTTTTAATACTTTAAGCGCAAGTGGTACCGTTTGAATATGCTGTTATATCCCAAAAAACGTTATGGCATTTTGTGTGAATACTCTGCACACCACTAATATTATGAAAGAAAATATTACCTCATTCAAATCACCAGCTCTCGGTTACCTATTGTATTCAGTTCAGTACATTGTACATTCCGACATTCAAAAACGTCTCAACCGCGGCGTAAACACGTTTGTTAACAGCTGCATAAAAGGCCTGAATGGGATCACGTGTGAAAAGATATGAGTACGTTGCTTGTAATCACTCGGGTGTAGTGTGTTGATTCGTTGTTGTGATGTCAAGGTCAAAGTCAGTAGTGTGGAGTATCCCATCATAGCGTATGGTTTAGACAGGCAAACTGTAGAGCAGCTAAGGTTGCGCAACAGAGAAAAACTACCAGTCTTTCTATATGCGAGCAAGGCGAGCACAGGCTGGCAACGTACATCCCTCACTTTGGTTCGAAAAATATTTTTAATGTCAAAATATAATATCGCCACCATGAAAGGTAGACACCAAACCACCCCCACCCACACCCACCCCACCCCTCCAGCTGACATGGCGTTTCGTGGTACAAAGAGTGAGTGAGTGATTGAGTTTAATTTAATTTACTTTTAGCAATATTACATCAATATCTCGACAGGGGACGCCCGGCATGGGCTTCACACATTGGGGAATCGAACACGGATCTTCGGTGTGACGAACGAACGCTTTAACCACTAGGCTTCCCCATCGCCCCATGGTACAAAGAGGCGGTACACCCAGCACTCTGCCCAAAAGCATTCGAAAGTCTAGGATTTATTGACTTATGAATGCTTAAACATTCCAGGAGAAGACATGGCAACAAGTAGACAACTGGGGTTGGGTAAGTTCTACATAAACTGTAATTGAACACGCGACTGACTATCAGAGATCTATAAAAAACGGTCGGTGAGGATTCAATGAATTATGAACAAATCAGTGATGTAATGATTGATAAGTAATCTCTCAATGAACAATCAAGGACTTATTTAACAATGTATGAACATAGTGTCACTGAGATTTCCACTCAAGTGCCTTCGTTTTAACGATTCGAAATACCTTTTTAACGATGGATCAAAATACCGTCGTTTTAACGAATGATCGATATTTTTGCTTTACCGAATGATCAATATATGTTTGCTTTACCGAATGATCAATATATATTCGTTCTAAAGATGGTTCAATATACCTTCCTTTTACCGAAGGATTAAATTGTCATAAGAAATAGCAAAGTCTGAGGAAACTTTAGGACGGAGCAGTGTTAGGCCATCTCTTATGTACTCTGATAGGGGGCAATGGTTTGTTCAAAGGTTGCGAGCGATCAGAGCGGTTTGACACTGGACCGAGAGTCCACGCCATACACTTGTATCTCCTGACAGGTCAGTCATTAACTGGGTTTTATTTCATTAGTATTTGACGTTATTGCAGATACTGGTTCGGTTTGGTTGTTCTTTAAGACCGCATTTCAATATTCCATCTTTATGGTGGCGGGCTGTAAGTAATCAAGTCTGGACCAGACAATCCAGTGATCAACATCATGAGCACCGAAGTACGCAATTGTGATACGATGACATGTGTCAACCAAGTCAGCGAGTCGACCCTCCGTTAGTCGCCCGTTACGACAAGCATGGGTTGCTGAAGACCACTTCTATCCGGATGTTCAGACAATGACTACTTCCCCTAAAACAGTTCTGTGTTAAGACGGAAGCTGATAATACCTGTACAACTATGGGTTTTCATTTTCAGGGTGTTAATTGTCAAAGTTTATAACTCCTAAGAACTGAGGAATGAAATTTGACCTAACAGTAAGTTGTTGTAAAGTTTTTTAAACGTTTTAAGCTACAAACATTAATTTCACTCATTCACTGATATCCTATCAGGAACTATATGTAATGGAACACCATGAAAATCAGTAATTTCATGAAATCTCTTTAAATTTTAGGGAATAAATGAAATCCCTGGGGTGGGGACACAGCGATTTAACGAAATCACTGACAAAACCCGAAGATATGTCAGGTGTGTAGGGACCCGTGAAGATCCCGAGTTAGAATTGGTCCATAGCAGAGCATGCTCGTCGTAAATTAGGTGGCGACTATTGGGATGGGGTGGTCACTCTCGCTGACTTGGTCATCGTATCCCATTTTCGTAGATCGATGCTCATGTTGTTGATCTCTGGATTGTCTGTGCTAGACTCGATTACATACAGACCGCCGTCATACTGATGGAGTATTGCTGGGTGTGACGCTAAACAAGCAAACAAACAAAATCTGTGTGGGCCATCTGAGCGAAACAAAAAATTTCATTCCTTTCCGGCTTTTTTAGGTATCGATGGTGGTTTGTAGGGCTGCGCAATATAACCGGTTTACCGGCATTTACCGGTTCAGACATGAAAACGATACGTATTGCGATACGCTGATCGAAAACCGGTATTTTATCATGCATTCGGAAAACTTCGTAACACACGGAAATCTTCGGATATTTCCGTTTTTAATTGTTCTTTTCCCTGTTTCATTAGTGCCAAATGTTACTTACATTTTATTTTGTCATGATTAAAAGTTTTTAGAAAAGGTTAATCAATCATAGTGATTTTGTTGTGCTTTGCTTTATAATCAAGCATTAATTCGATTATAAGTAGTTTTGTTAAAAGATAGTCCTTGCAATATATTGCAATACATATCGCAATATATGTTTCCGCATCGCAATATATCGCAATATGGAAATTCTCTGCAATACCCACCCCTAGTGGTTTGCGCGATCCTAAACATGTTTGAACATAGCTAAAATGTCTTGTGCATGAATGACACGTGTAAACAGGAGGCAATTCCCGCGCGAGTAAATGGGATACTTCGAGAAACGTGGTGAAAGTAGCGTCGATAGGGATGACATATGATTTTTACATTCCTTGGGAAATGAATCCAATAACACGTGACCAATTCAACCAATCAGAATGCATGATTACAATGAACATGTAATTATTCACGTGTTGGAATATGGTTTCCTGTGTAAACTTTGACTGTAAGCTTGCTTGTTTCTTTCCTTGGTGTTTAGCGCAGCACTCAGCAATACCCTAGCTATATGGCGGCGGTCTGTAAATAACAGCTACTCCAATATTATGAGCGTCGATATACGAAACTGGATACCATGAGATGCATCAGCGAGTCTGACGACTCCTACGACAAGCACGGGTTTATATGGTGTATATATTAACGTAACAGTGTAAAAGACTGACATGTCTCAGTGTAACAATGTGTAAGCTTTTGAACCTCCTCTGTCAGTCGTTGATTGCTTGTTCACAGTTATGAAAGAACAGGCGGCAACTGTGTGACAATTCTGGAATTGAAGTTTGGGTTGGTCTTTGATAAGTCAATAAACGATCACGATTTTACATTCATAAGTGAGAGGGATCCACGTGACCTTGGATCAGTGATCTGTTAGAGGGGATCAATGGTCTGTCAGAAGGATGTTCAGTGATGTCAGAGCTGATCTGTTAGTCTCGGGATCCAAGGGTTGGTCAGATCAGTGATCTGTGAGAGGGATCAAGGATGTTCACGGGATACACTGGTCAGTGATCTGTTAGAGGGATCCAGGGATCAGTGTTCTGTTAGAGGGTGTGGTCAGTGTGATCTGTGAGAGGGATCCACGGGCTGTCAGAGAGGATCCAAGGGTTGGTCAGTGATCTGTTAGAGGACCAAGGGTTGGTCAGTGTTCTGTCAGAGGGATCCCGGATACCGGATAGTAAACCATTGAAATAAACGTAAATACAGTAGGAAATACATGCCATGACCGGATTTACGTATGTTTTCGGATATTTCCTAACTTCGGGCATATATTTCATATGATTCTATACCTTTGAAACATATGCTCATCGTACATTTTCGTATGCACAAGTACCTCGTTCATGTATGCCATGACCGGATTGTCAGGTATTTCCA